ATGGAAATCATATATTTATATTTGGGTTAAAGGGCAGCATTAGCTATGAAAAACAAACATACGATTAAGTTCTACTTAATTAGGCCTTGTGGATGATAACTTGAGGGAAACCCTATTCCATTCATGAGCAGGAGGTGGACGTTTTGCTATTCCGGCTACGGCTCCACCCAAGAAGTTGAAAAAATTGCATGGTCTACAAATTATCCCCTTCTTAATTAGTGTTCGATTTTTTTTTTTTTTAAAGTTGATCTCTAACTTCTTACCATAGTTGCACAAGTAGATTCCTATAATTGGACTAGTTTAATTCTGTAAATTGTTTTAGAGTTGAATGTTATCACGCTTCAAACATGTCATAGAATTATGAAATATAATATTAGTTAATTTCTTTAAAATTGATTTGTGAGATATTATTAATTTCTTCGATCAATAAATGCATTTAAATAAATTATCTTTGGAATTTTTGGTTCAAATTGTCTTTTGTCAATATCCAGATAATATAATAATGCACTATTTATATTATTTCAAACTTCTTAATTCCTCCTCTTGTTGATGAGAAAATTGTCCAATCATATGACAATCAACAAATCGCATTATAAATCATTACTCGTTAGGGTTCAAGATATTTCATAAGAGTTCAAAATGGACATGTATTAGCAGCATTCTTTAGCCCATGTTTTGCTGCCATTAAATTAAAAATCATTTTTTCGTATTTTCTTATCAATCACACATTTTTCAATAAAATAATACTACACATAAACGTACAATATAAGATTTGTTGCAATTATACTAATATTAGTATAATATACCAAGTAACACTGATTTTAGAAACTTTAAAAGTTTCTTTTATGTTTAGTTGAGAACAAATTACTGGGATAAAATGTATCTCCCCTACATCACTTAATATTGGCTCTTCCGAAGATTTCATAAAGTTTTCACCAAATATCAAATCAATTCGTTTGATATTCTTCAAGAATGATTAATTGAAGATTGAGATATTGAGATTGTGCTTCTTCAAGAGAATTGACATTATTCGTATTAAATATT